TTAGTGAACTGAGTGGAGGGTTGACCATATTAGTTGAAATCTTTATTATCCAATCAATGATAATTCTGTATCCCCTTGTAAATCAATATTTATTATTTCACCAAAATGTATAAATCACCGCGCGCTTCACCAGCAGAGACCATTTTCTCGCAGGCTGTGTTGGACCTTCACTCATTTTCCACTGGAATTGCTGATATGGGAAAGATGAAGTCGATTTGACTCCTTATTCGAGTCAGCAGTTGCAAACTGCCCAATATATTTATTTATTTATAACAAATGGCAGGCGTTTTGATAGTTAACATTAGAACTTTAGTTGACTTCGGACTTCGCAGAGGGGAGGAGGAACATCAAAGTGAGAAGAATTCAGGAGGGGGAATAGAAGGGTGTTTCAAAGATGTAAAAGAAACAGACAGACACAAAGGCTCAGAAAGGGTAAGATGAGTAGTGGTAGGGGTCGAATATGACATACAGTGGGGGTGATGGTTGTTTGAAGTGAGAAGTCAACTGCCGATTAATAGACTTTTTTGCCGCACGAGTATATGTTTCCCTAGGGTGCACCACGTGGAGGTAAGTCTATCGCACACCCCACTGCCCAATATGTAATGTAGCGGTAATTGTCTTCCCAATCTTTTGAAGGAAAAATTGGAAATGGAAATGGAAATGGCAAGATGGATTCCTTGTTGTCTGAAGATTGTCTTTAAATGAGAACAGAATATTTTGGAGTATTCTTTAACGCAATCCATGAAAATGGAACTTCAAAAAGTGAACAGGCCATTTAGCAAATATTGTAGAGCCTAAATCTCAAAATTCAGTGGAGCAAAAATCTTTGATAACTTGAATTTCCTCAACCTTTCTCATCCCTTCATTAATTGTTAAGCTCGACTATTCGATGTCATTCGACTCACACTATGGGAAATTGTGGGTATTCTACTATGCATAATAGTAATAATAAAAATAGTGTCACCAATTGCCACTAAAGTGATTAGCACCCACTTCACTACAGTTTTGTTTAGCTCTCTCATTTGGTCATGTTTGAGAGTGACTATCCGAGAGTTGTCAAAAATAGGGGGGGGCATGAGTAGCGGAAAACTCCCATTTCAACCTCAATTCTTCTATGAGCTTTAATCGTGAATGACGTATAAGCGCCATTTTTGAGATTACTGCAGAAGAGAACTGAATTCTGGTTCTAAATCTTCATATTTCCTATTCAGGCCACAAAGAAGCCCCACACTTAAAAAAGATGGACAGTTTTCTGCTCGAGCTGTCTGTCTACACAAACATTAATTCAAATGGCAAAATTGGATCTTCTTGTCCTGTGACATCCCTCCAGCATTCTACTGAAGACCTGTAGAAGTTGTCATTCGCCCCGACGATGGCGATTTCTCTTATAGCTTCGTTTCAAGCTAACCATAATAAATTGAAGTCAAATGCCGAGTGATAGACTTTTTTGCCGTATGAATATACGTTGTCCAGGGTGTACCACGTGGAGGTAAGTCTATCGCGCACAAGCATTCAGATCTCCGTTACTGCGCTGGTCTTTATATACATACGCATATCTTCTCAAATCAAACAAAAAAGATCTTGTTGCCAAACACACACTTTATTTTTGTGCAAATAATTAAGAGTGGAATCACATAGCCTTAACCCAGAAAGCATAGCAGAAAAAAGTGTGCACTCTGGTGCAATGATCCGTGGTCATCATACGATCAATTCATTTTGCCTCTGCAGGTCTCAATCACGTTGCAGCAGTGTAAATACCCTCAGTTGGTAAATAAGGTCATAAAGAGATGAAACTTGTTGTGCTTTCAATAATAATAAAAATAATAAAATCAGGAATTTGTTAAACAACAATTTAGTTGAGTCGTGATGTGCATTTCCAGATTTCCGTTCTTGAGCCTCTTACTTGCCATTTCTTTGTGTTGATTAAGAAGCACATAAAATGGCTCAAGTCAACAAAGCTACTTTATATGTCCTCTTCACAAAATTAATGATCTTTCCCTTGATTGACAGAGTACAGGAGCATTTCAAAGCTGAGCCAAGTTGCACCATAAGCATATTGAATGACTGGGAATGAAAAGGGAAGTGAAGAGGGTAGTAGGGGGGGGGGGAGGGAGATCTGGAGGCAAAAGAAAGGTGTCATTGCCAACTGGAGTGAACTGGGATGCAGTGAGAAATGTTGGGAGGATTGGCAGATTTCGCTTTCCATGTTAGTTGATATATTATTCACAGTTATCATAGAGGTATGAGTCATTCGTTGCAGTTGTCCGTAGGTATGGCAGGTCAGCTTTTGAATATTTGTTGCTAATAATTTTTTATTATTATTATAATCGCATGCATTATTGGATTATTTTCCTACTATTTCGCTATGATTCTGAAATACGTAAAATTTGTTTTGTCCTAGATTCCAATTAATAAATGCGAATCTTTAGATCAAGATATTTTCCAACCTGTGTTTAACATCCTTGAAATAATTGCTTGCATCTGACCTCTTCGAAAACAAGGGAAAAATAATTCCATTTAAAAATATTTTATTAAATTTGGGGGGGGGGGTCGTTATGCCAATATTTCAACAGCAATAGTTGACGCAAATCCAGTAAAAAGAATCGTTCAAACAAAATTATGCATAAATCGGGGGTGTACGATAGACTTACCGCCACGTGGTGGATCCTGGGCAACGTATCCTCATACGGCAAAAAAGGTCTATTAACCGGTAGTTGACTTCTGACTTCAAACTACCATCACCTCAATGTGTGTCATATTTGACTACTTCCACAGTACTCACCTCACCTTTGTAACACTCTGCCTTTGTGTCTCTCTCTTTTACATCTATGAAACACTCTTCTGTTCCCCCCCCTGCCTTTGTGCCTGTCTCTTTTACATCTTTGAATCACTCACTTTTTTGTCTGTTCTTTTACATCTTTGAAATTCTCTTTACATCTTGAATCACTCTATCTTTGTGTCTGTCTCTTTTACATCTTTGAAGCATTCTTCTGTCCTCCCTTTCAACTTTTTCTCATTTTGATGTTCCTCCTTTCCTCTGTGAAGCCCGAAGTCAGCTAAAGGGCAAATGATAAGTGTCATAAAGCCCCCCATTTTGTACAAATTGAAATGGAGGCCACTGCGTTGGTAGGCAAGTGAATATGAAAGAATGCCAAGTTTATGACTGAGTTGCAGGACTAATGGCATTTATCTGATCCAACTGAGATTTTTAGCCTTATGGAAACATGGCAGCATTTAAGAGTTTACAGACGGAGAGAAAGTGGTGATCCAGTTATTGTCTTGAACAATTGACAGTTGTGGTATGGAAACTGTTTGTTCAATGGAGCTTCAATCAAGCTGTTGTTTGTCTGTTAGCTAGATCGCATCCTTTTCTATTCTTTGTGAAAGTGTTCGGTAATAAAAACATTAGGTCAGTTATGAGTGGAACATTGAGTAGTCCACTCAAATGGAAATTGATAGCAACTTCTTCAACGAGCAATTAATGACAAATAAAAGTTGATGGCAGATCACTTGACTATCGATGGATGGGAAATAAAATTAAGCCTATTACGAAGCTGATATTTCAAGTCCACTTTGATTAAATTACAAAGAAATCGTAAGCATAATAAAGCTGAGATTAAGGTCAACCTGAATCCCGGTGGAAAATTCTAGACAAAATATTCCCGAGAGTTGGTTTAAAATTAGAAGAAGCTATTGACTAAAGAAAATTTAACTACTTCAAATTGAAATGGTAACTAAAATCGACACAGCTCAGGTTTTGTAAAGTTGGAAACAGGGATAAGAAAGCATAAAGATTGAAAATGGTGGGATCAGGCAGCCAATTGGCTCATATTCCAATATCTCCAGCTTTGGTGAGAGCGATCGGTGATCCTAGTACATGAACAAAATTAGCTAAGGCTTCAGCTTTCCCAATGGTTCAATCAGTATTCAGGTGTGTTCTTCAGTGTGGTCCAGCAAGTTAACCATCCTACCTCTAACACCTTTGGGATCCATAATTTCATAAAATTATTTCTTGAATGTCAGCCCAGATATAAAAAAACAGGGCAACTTAGGAAACAACTGGGAGATCATCTTGGTGTGGATTCTAATCATCCTGAGATAAAGCCTACGATCTCTAACCTGGAGTCCTTTTTTGGGCGTTCTAAGAATTTATAAATTAAAGGACGCTCTTTGAATATCTCAAAGTTAGTCACAACAAGGCTTCTTAAGAAAGAGTTTGGTTGAAATTTAGTTGCATTGAATGTATTTTCTTTCACTGACATTCATTTTTTTGGAAAGTGCAATAGCACGTTTACAGTGCCCTCCAAAATTGTGGTCAATTAAACAAAACAGCAAAAGAAAAGCACTTGTACAATTATGAGCATAGTATAGTAATAAAATCACGCGAGTAGTAGATTTAGCAAAATATCATCAGATGATTGTCCTTAACAGGAGACAACCAATCAGTTGTAAAAAGTGCATTGTGACATTGGAATATAAATACTCATTTCCTTGACCCAATATGACTTTCTTCCAATTACCTTTCAAGCGGTATGTTACCCTATACTAAAAACACCATTGGGTTTTCTCTGTTTCTAATTAATTAAATACCCCCCCCCCCTTATTTCTTAATTAGAGACAAAGAAACAAGATGACTTCGGATTTTGATCCCGTTGCTGATGCGATGGCCTTGAATAAGGCAATGAAGGGTCTAGGTTAGTTCCTCTTCAGCATCATTTAAACAAATTCTTTGCCTTCCCTTGAGATGAAAAACAAAAGTTGTAATGTGTCTATTAATTATTTATTAAATTCATTATGCCAATTTAATTTCATAAGATGAAAATTTACCTCCTAGTAAGTAATTAATCTTTTTTTCTCAAAAATATTTCTATAAGATAATAAAATAAAAGCGTTCCACGAAGGCATACGAGTTATACCTTCATTTTTACGAGCTCTTAAATATTATTAAATTTAGACGCAAGGTATTTGAACAAATAAAGATACGATTTAGCTATATAACTTCTCCCCTATACTCTAATATTTCACGATCAAGAACCTGGACGATGTTAGCAGGAAGGAATTTATCGAGGCGAAGGAAAAATAGGGTATTTTGAATGGGCGTTCTAATTAAGAATGATATTCAAGTATTTTCTTCTTATTTCTTACCTACCCATATCGACAGATCGCGTCACTTCTAGAATAGTGCTATTAGAGTGATTTCCCGACTTTTGGAAGGCTGGAATATGATGAAGTTTCATGACTTTATAAATGGTACTAATTTCTTTTAACACCAGCTGAAGTAGGTTGGTGCTAAAAAGTTTGAAACAGTGTTATAGTACTTATTTTACTCGAAAGACAATTTAAGTAATATCTCTTTTTAAATAAATTTGAAGGAACTGATGAGAAAGCCATAATTGATATACTCGCCAATCGAACATTCAAACAACGCAAGAAGATTGCAAAACGATACAAAGCGTCATTTGGTCAAGTAAGTTCCCTATCGAAACTTTCTGCTCCTAACTATATGCTCATACAATTAAAAACCTCTCCAGGATCTTCAAAAACGCCTCAGTCAGGAGACTTCCGGAAAATTCAGAAAGGTTGTCAAAATGTCCTTCCTCGATCGGGCGCATTTGAATGCGAAAGCCCTCTTTAAAGCTATGGATGGAATGGGAACCAAGGAATCTGTCATCATCCAAGTCCTGTGCACTGCCAGTAACGAGGAGATTGCTGAACTGCGAGATGCGTATGAAAAAGGTAGGTGAGTGGGGTTATCACGACTAACCCACAGGTACTTTTGAATTACTGCACTTTAAAAGGACTCTACACAATCATACGCCTATTTACCTTACTAGCCAAGTAGATATAATAAGTATTAAACGCGTATTGCTTTCAAAATGAACCTTTTGTTATTGAAACTTAGAAGATTGATAGGCCTTATTGAAGTGTTACATTTGCTTGCACATAAATGCGTGTTTTTTTCTAATTTCAGTCCTATTGGAAAAGAATGAAAATCGTGAGTAAATTTTTGTCATTTTCGCCTTATGCACTTCTTTTATATATTTTCTTGAATATCTTATTGAACTTGCGACATTTTATCTTTCAAAACTTGAATAATTACTGTTATTTTCCATACAGTTTTTGATCTTGGATTTAAATATTATTGATCCCTTGATTACACAATTTGGAAATGGGCTAAGAAATGCATTATAAAATAATAGGCTATGGAATTTTCGAGAAAGTTAGCTGAAATTTTCTAGAGTCCATTTTTTTACAAAACAGTGGCAACAGAGCCATCAATTTGAGTTTGCAAATCTCATTGCAAAGTGAATGACAGATGATAATAATTTTTTTTGCTTCTTGGGAAGAAAGAGTCTCCAACTGGACAAATGGTTATGAATGAAATGAGAAAAGGGAAGTAATCCGAGGGGATAAGTGATCGCCCTAAAAGGAGAGAATCCGAGGCGCATTAAACGAGACGTTCGGTAGATGTCGCACTCCTCGTTCGTTGATGGGAAACTGATGGAAAAATTGACAAACCGATTATTATCCAAACATATTAATGAGCCCCTTTGAGCATAGGATGTGACCTTGTATGCAAGATTTATACCACTTGATTTTTTCATCATATGCCAAATAACAAGTGATTGTTAAATTCACCTTTGAAAAGAAAAGAGGTTATTATTGTTATTATTATTAAAAACAGAGATATTCATATATAGTTAATGAGCCCAAGTTGCCTATTTGAGCATTGAAATGAATGCAAGAGCAAATTCAACTCACATTACTTCGCTTTCAGCTCTTCGTCGCGACATTGAGAAGGACATTATTAGTGATTTGAGCGGAGATTTCGAGAAATTCATTGTCGCTATACTTCAAGGCGCTAGAGAGGAGGCTCTTGATCGAGATGCTGCCGCGGCTGATGTGGAGGCTCTCTATAATGCTGGTGAAAAGTAAAGCTACTTTCTAATCATGTTACTAAAATGAATTAAGCAGTATCGATTCCAATTCCTCCGTTTGTTTTTGCAGAAAAATTGGAACTGACGAAGAAGTCTTCACTCGTATATTCGCCAGAAACAGCTATGAGACGCTCAGGCTTATGGATGAACTCTACTTTGAAGTAAGAGCATATCCCTATGTTTAAAAGCACCCAATTCAAGGGAGTGAGTGGAATCATTCACATGGTTAATATCTTTTATAAGACATTCGAAGCTCTAGACTAATAGAAGGAAGTGATTTAATTTATTATTGCCAAAAAAAGACTTTTACCCTAGGATCTTCACGTTCCTGGATTTCAAGGTTATAATATGATCAGTGGATAACATTGCCCGTTTACAAGTTTAAATGCGAGAGTAATCGAAAAATTGGTATATAAGCGATGAAGATGAGACTAAAAGTGGGTAGATTAGTCCATTTATCATTCATATTTGGGTTGCCTCGTATTGTAAATATTTCTTGGGAATTTTAGTCCACCTGAACGAGATTTCCATTTTAAATAAACTGCTTTCGCTTGATAACTCATTTTCACATGTTTCAGGGTTGATAATTTTCCTAGCTCAATTTAGGGTTGGCTTTGCCTATCTTGATCTGTTTATTCTGTCTGGTAGCTAAAAAACCATTAATTGGTATAGTTAGGTCATTTTAGAAAAAAAGAACCATTGAATCCTATTGTAACCTGCAATTTAAAATATCCCATTTACGCCAACAATGCTGGAAATCTGATGCTGTACAGGAAGTCCGAGACTTAATTAGAGATTGTATTCAGAAAGTTAATTATGTGAAGCAGTTCCAATGAAAACTTCTAATTAATGGGGAAACATAAATCAGGGAGATGCTTTAAATGGGCTTGACGGTTAAAAAACTGGAATATATCATTCTGGACGATTAATAACATACTGTGGCACTTACCTTTGTCTTAATAATCGTAAATCGGAGATTCAGTTCAGACCTTTTTCTCTTCATCATCTTTGATTCCCGTTTGCGGTGGGTTCAATTTAGTTATCCTTAAAAGACTGCATCATCTGAACAAAAGGCTTAATTGTATTATCAAATGACACCAGTCTAATGATAATTTGAGCTTTATTCGTGCACATTTGTATGAAGAAATGCAATTTTTATTTAACTTTAATTCCATTGGTTAGAATGGAAAATTCGTTGAAATTCCTCACTCTAACAGCCTATTCGTACTTACGTACTATTGCGAGCCGGTAATAAAATATTTCAGCAGGTGATAGTTGACAGTTATTGCATTCATTTTAGAAAGCTGGACACGGACTTCTAAAAGCAATCGCTTCTGAACTCTCCGGCGATTACGAGAAGGCCATTACCACAGTTGGTGAGAATAACAGTCATCCATTTTTCTTTTGCATCTCTTAATGTATTGCCTGGGCCTAAGACGGCATTATACATTTTAGTCAAAACGGCGTTTAAAAAAGAAGAATGTATTGCCGATTTTCTGTATGAAGCAATGTCTGGCCTTGGTACAAAGGATGAACAGCTTATGCGACTACTTCTTGCGTATTCAGAGGTGGGTAGTACTACTAATTCGATTTTAAGTAGATATTATGAAATGTATATCATTTTTGTGTGTGATTTTAGGATAATATGACGGAAATTAAAGCAATTTTCATGGCCAAATATAAAAAATCTTTGGAACAAAGGATACACAGTGACACTTCTGGAGATTATAGGAAATTCCTAATTGCTCTCGTCAGTAAATACTAATGCATACATTCCCTTTTACAATAATCAATTATTACTTTTGTTTTTTGTGGAATAAAGTAATCTTTTCGCTAAAAATCTACCACTTTTGCACTTTCCAACATACAGTATTTTTGTTCAAATTCTATGACAACGTAACCGTTGGGGACCAATGCCAAAGTTGATCAATCATATGATCATTTTTGTTGAAAATAATGGTATTTACAACTTTCCCTTGATACCAATAGTTCCAATGACCTTTCAAATAATACCTATTATTAAAAAGACTGCAACAATTTAGGAGAGTTATAATTAACCGTTGAGTAATAGCTGTCTTCACATTATCAAAGAAGCAATTGTCTTTTAAGCAATTTCAGAAGTTTTTAAGGGGTACATTTTTAAGTAATTTATTAAAAAAATGGACGATGGAATTTGTTTGTAAAAGCCATTGACATTAATTTGCTTCATAAACAAGACCATTATCGTAAAATCTGCATCAGCCGGAATTGCAAACATTGTAGTATACGTTGAATTCGAAGTACATTTTGCGAAATTGTTACAATGTCTGATATTATTTGAGAAACTCTTATTAAACATTAAACAAAAATCGATTTTTTAATAGGAGAATTAGTAGTTCAGGCATTAAAGGAGGCCCCATTTTGGTCTAGGTCTCTTAAATTAAAGGCTTTGAAGAATTCACCTGTTCAAACTTCCTAAACGCATTGAAAGTCATTGTTGAGGTTAACAAAAAAAGTTGAAAATAGTCCTTTGGTTTGAGATCACAATTAACAAAAGCAAAACCCTCGAGTAGATGAATAATTTCCTTTTAATTCCTGAACTTATTTATTTATATCAAATGGCAGGCGTTTTAATGGTTATCATTAGCCCTTTAGTTGACTTCGGGCTTTACAGAGGGGAAGGAACATCAAAGAGAAAGAAAGTCGAGAGGGGATGGGGAGGGAACAGAAGAGTGTTTCAAAGACGAAGGTAGAAAGGTAGAAAAGAGGTGAGGTGAGTACTGGGGAAGTAGTCGAATATGACATACAGTGGGATCATGGCAGTTTGAAGTCAGAAGTCAACTGCCAGTTTATAGACTTTTTGCCGTATGAGTATACGTTGCCCAGGGTGCACCACGTGGAGGTAAGTCTAACGCACACCCAAATTCCTGAACTTAGAACTCATCACATTATATTCTAGGTTTGAACACTATTTACTTAATGATAATAAGTAGAAATAAGTAGTGTTACATCAATGCAATCAGATGGGCCTTGGCTTTAAAAAATCGTTAGATCGTGTTTCATGTTGAAATTAATAAAGGTATCATTTCATTGTCATACTTCTAGATAAAGAGTTTATAATTTTCTTGCATTAAAAGTTACTTAAAACGTGCCTCAGACAAATTTAATACCAAATTCTTCACATTTTAACTTCCCTAATGCGTAAAATAAGTCCCAGTGGTGTTGCGATTGATCTGCTCTCCTCATAACCAAAGGCTCATGATCCAATTTCCATATAACCTCTAGAATTATAATCTGTGAGTCCATTTTAAACCACAATCCATGCACACTTTAATAAAACAGGAACAAAAATGAATGTCGATATCGTGAGTTAGGACATGACAACTGAAATTTCTAATTAAACGCTCATTTTTTCATGGATATCAGTTGGTAATGCATATATAAGAAGGGGAGTGAGATAATGAATGCACAATTTTTGTTTTTCCAACATTTAGGTACTAAAAAATTTTGTTCGCTTAAAATAGGTCGAATTCTAAAAATGCGAGCAAAATTCGGAGGTGACCAAGAAGAGCTCGGTTAAATTCCATTACTCCCACACACCTTCTCTTATTTAGTTCATTTAATTGACGAATAAATAAATGATACTAAATCCACTTTGTGTGGATGCGGAATTCTATCTTCCCCAGTAGGGGGTGTGCGATAGACTTACCTCCACGTGGTGCACC